TGAGGTACGATAACATGTGTCAGAATCGGATATGCAACAGGTGTTTTTTTGTTTGTTTGCTTTTTAACGCAATATTCAATAGGTATATAACTATATGACGGCGGTCTGTAAATAATAGAGTCTGGACCAGACAATCCAGTGATCGACAGCATCACCAGTGATCTACAAAAATTGGGAAGCACAACCAAGTCACCAAGCCTGACCACCCGATCCCGTTAGTCACCTCTTACGACAAGCATGGGTTGCTGAAGATCAGTTCTAACCCGGATCTTCACGGGTCCCTTTTAAGACGGTGGCGGTGTGCTCAAAGCTCAGGTCACAAATCGGTAAAGTTAAGCAGCGTCGAGCTCGGAGAGTCCTTGGATGGGTGACCGTGTTTGGCAGCTTGACTCCTGAGAGTTTCTAGGACTTGAGTCCTGCCCCACAACGAAGCACATGTGGCACATGTGGTCTCACCTTAGGCAAGTGAGTTTCTTCAAAATTGTCTCTGTTCACCCAGCAGAAAATGGGTACCCGGTGGAAAAAAGTCATATGACTATAACCTTCTAGCGCCTAACAGGCAGCTTGGGTTATTCGGGGTAATATTGTGCTGTGCCTTGATTGTTAGCGCTATGAGCATACCTAGTGTGGAGTTTGGCGCTATATAAATGGACTCATTATTATTATTATTATTAAGACAAGCATGGGTTGCCGAAGATCAGTTCTAACCGGGATCTTCACGGGTCTGCGACAGGTGTGACTAATGCAGGATGAACAGCGAGCCGGACACGTGCGTGTATTTTGGAAGCGTGTGATATCGTATTTGGTTGATTACATAGAGACGACGTTTAGTTTTGAAAGAAGGGTTCTTTGATATGCTGGGTTGAGTGAGTGTAGTTATACAGTGTGCCTGGTAGACTCACATCTAGTCTCTGAAATGAACAAATTTGACAGAAAACACGTTTTTAAAATTATGTTAATGATATATAATGAATAGGAGTCACAGAGACTTTCTTCACTGAAACTGTGATTATCTAGACTTGCCACAATTTCTAGACTTGCCTGGGCTACATTGGGTATATGTTTCAGGGTCTGTATGACAGAATATGTGGCTGTTGAACATGAGAGTGTGTTGTTGAGTATTTGGTGGGGTGACTGAGTATATGAGTGTGTGATTAGAAATGCCAGAATCTTACTGAACATTTAAGTGTCTAGATGGTCCACCATTTGAATGTGTAGGTGAACATGTGAGTTGGTGGTTATGTGAGGATGGTTGCGCCAGTAGTTGAGCCTGTAAACATGCAGATATTCTGTTAAAAATAACATATTGTTACTTCGGTGAAATGACGAACCTGCCACAGAAAGGTCTTTTATGAGCGCATCTTTTAATCTGTGCCTGTCAAGCGAGAAGATTTCAGGTGGTTAAAATGAGTAAAATAACATAAGTAAGTATCATTTACGGAACGATTCAACCAAATTAACGTGTAAATGTCGAGTACGTGGTTGTGATGTTGAGTATATGCGCGCTCGCGTGTGTGTGTGTGTGTGTGTGTGTGTGTGTGTGTGTGTGAGAGAGAGAGAGAGGGAGCCTATGAGAGTGTGGTTGAATTAGTGAGCCTAGTTGAGCATGTGTGTGTGCGTGTGTGTGTGTGTGAGTATATAGTTTAGTGTGTGAGCGGAGAGTTGAGTGTGTGAGTGGATCGTTAGGTGCGTGGGTGGATAGTTGAGTGTATGTTTGTGTTCTGGAACAGCAGCTTGAATGGTTGGTTGTAGATGGTTGTTTGTGGGTGAGTGGGCTTGAATGTGTGTGTATGTGTGTGTGTGTGTGTTGTTAACAGTTGAGTGTGTGAGTGTGTGGCTGAATGTACGAGTGTGGCTGTATGCTAGTTGTTGTTAGTGTATGGTTGTTGGCTACAGTTGAGCACGAAGGTGTGTGGCTGACCCATGCGAGTGTTGAAGTGAGTATGGAAGTGTCTGAATGTGAGTTCAGATAGTGGAGAGAATTATTACATGATGCTGCGAATTCGTCGTTGCAGATGTGTGTACTTTGTACGGTAGGTCGTTGATGAGATCTGGATAATTCCAGATGTCTGGGTGAATAGAAGATGTCACGATGCATTAATAGAGTGAGTATGCCTGTACGCCGCTTTTAGCAATATTCCAGATATACCAACGTGGGGGGACACCAGAAATGGGCTTCAGGTATTTTAACTATGCAAGGAATCGAACCCGTGTGTTTGGCGTGACGAGCGAACGCTTCAGCCACTAGACTACCCCATGACCTCTGTTTTTGGTATGTGCAATAAACTGTTAGATCAATATGTCTTTGAAGAGAGTGTTTGCATATTATTTTACAATACCCACCATAAGATGTGGGTATCACACTTATAATATTTACCACCACTATCTCTCGCTTTGTTGGTTTTGTTGTTTAACGCTATATTCAGCAATGTTCCAGATATATGGCGGCGGTCTGTAAATAATCGAGTCTGGACCAGACAACCCAGAGATCAACAGCATGAGCATCAATCTACGCGATCGGGATGCGATGACATGTGTCAACCAAGTCTGAACATCCGATCCCATTAGTCGCCTCTTACGACAAGCATGGGTTACTGAAGACCGATTCTAACCTGGATCTTCACAGGTGCTTTGTTTGCTAATCATATAACCATTCACAAACGCCATACTCACTCACTCACTCACTCACTCACTCACTCACTCACTCACTCACTCACTTATAAATGAAAGGGTCACTGGTCTGACAGCGTTTATGTATTTTAATTTAGGGTCTACTTGTTTAACGTGTCTCATAAGACTGCACATACTTACATATTCACACGATAACATATCGTTGACACAATTTTAATGTACCAAGCGTGCCACGATAATACTTATTCCTATCCTAATCAGCTGTTATCTTGTGACTACCGCTAATAATTGTTTTGACCAACATGCACTCTGTGAAATCTGATAATGTTCAATGCATATTACCTTCGTATTTTATACTCTTGTCGTCTAAACTGGTTTTGTTCCATGCAGGGGGCGATGGGTTAGCCAAGTGGTTCAAGCATTCGCTCGTCTCGCCGAAGGCTCGGGTTTGATTCTCCACATGGGTACGTGAAGCCCATTTCTGGTGCTCGCCGCCGTGATTTTGCTGGACCTTTGCCATAAGCGGCGTAAAACCATACTCACTCACTCAGTTGTTCCACGCAGATATCCTAGTCATTGTTTGGAACAAATGTATCGTTAATGAGCCAGTCATCAAGTCTATCACACAAACGATGTATGTGAGTGAGTGACTGAGTGAGTGAGTGAGTGAGTGAGGTTTTACGCCGCTTTTAGTGATATCCCAGCAATATCACAAATGGGGACACCAGAAATGAGCTTCACACATTGTACTCATGTGGGAAATCGAACCCGGGTCTTCGGCGTGACGATCAAACGCTTTAACCACAACACTTAGATAACATTTATGAAATGATAAAACCGAATTTACTTGTTTCAATACATATTTCATTACTATATCACTCACAACAACGGTTTCCTAAAATTTAATTTACAAAATAGATAGCGAGAACGGCAATGTAATCTGACGGGGTGTTTGTTACTCGACTTCTCTTTGTCTCTGTTTATGTAGACTGACGAACAAAAAGAAAGTACACATCTGGCAGTGTTTTGGCAACACGTACACAACTTTTGTGAGTCAACATATTTTTTAAAATAATAGCTCCGTTTTTAAAAAATATAAAAAATCCCATAACACATGTGTAATTTTAGTTATTGTTTGAATTTTTTATGCCTAAAATCGTTCATGGATCGATTCTTATCTTAGGTTCACATTTTCAATCAGCTGACCTACACTGAAACCTCGTTAATCCGGACGATGCCGTTTCAAACAAAAGTGTCCGTGTGAATACATTTCTAGATTAAATAAAAATTGGTATTCGGTAACATTGGTAATATTAGTAACTGTTAATACTAGTAACATTCTTTAGGTATTCACGCTGAGAGTGAATATTCCGGACTAACAAGGTTTATCGTTAAATATTTTTTAAAAAAAGACTGAAAGACCGTCTTTCATTTTTTTTGACATAACATATGTTTGATGAGTGATTAGAGATAAAATGAAAATATATAATTATATCTATCAAAATATTAAGGAAATATGTCTTGGTGAATCATGAAAATTAGTTCCTGCATTCAGATCATGCATGGGAAGGCATGTTGTCGATTGGAAGACTTCTGTATTTGCATAATATAATTATAAATGTTTAGAATTATGAATAATGAGACATAAGTAAGCAAAACATCTTACCGGAATATACATGTGGTAGGAACAAACATACTTCTCGTGTTGGTGGCCGTCGTTGGCCATGTTGACGAACGTATGCGTTGGGCCAGCTTGTGAGAGATAAAAAACACTTCACATGACCTATTAACAGATTAACCCTTGCGCATGTAGAGCAAACTTATTGATAACGTTAAAGCCCCATGTAAGCCACGATCTCGTATCATGCATGCTGCAGTTGTTAGGGATGGGGGGACGTAGACGTGGACGTAGACGTGGACGTAGACGTGGACGGAGTTGGGATGGGGACTGGGACTTGGATGTTGAAAGTTGACATTGACGTTTGTTTGTTTGTTGTTTAACGCCGCACTCAACAATGTTCCAGCTATATTACGGCGGTCTGTAAATAATCGAGTCTGGACCAGACAACCCAGTGATCAACAGCATGAGCGTCGACATATGTAATTGGCATACGATGACATGTCTCAACCAAGTCAGCGAGCCTAACCACCCGATCCCGTTAGTTACCCCTTCCAACAAGCATGTGTTGCTGAAGATCAGTTCTAACTCGTATCTTCACGGGTCTGACATGGACGTAAACAGAGACGATGTCAACGTGGATGGGGATGGGGAATCGACACAGGGATCGGGGGGTGACTGGGATGGGATGGGACGGGATGGGATGGGATGGGATGGAGGGAGGGAGGGAGGGAGGGAGGGAGGAGGGAAGATGGGATGGATGGGATGGGATGGAGGGACGGAGGGAGGATGGGATGGGATGGGATGGGATGGAGGGACGGAGGAGGATGGGATCGGATGGGATGGGATCGGATCAGATGGGATGGAGGGACGGAGGGAGGATGGGATGGGATGGGATGGGGGATGGAGGGACGGAGGGAGGATGGGATCGGATGCGATGGGATCGGATCAGATGGGATGGAGGGACGGAGGGAGGATGGGATGGGATGGGATGGGATGGAGGGACGGAGGGAGGATGGGATGGGATGGGATGCGATGGGATGCGATGGGATGGGATGGGTTGGGTTGGGTTGGGTTGGGTTGGATGGAGGGACGGAGGGAGGATGAGATGGAATGGGATGGGATGGGATGCGGATGTGGAATCGACGTCGAGAAAGGGACGGGGATGGAGACGTGCATATGTATGTCAATGGGGACTAGGGTGGGGACGAGGAAGCGGACGTGGACGTGGACGTGGACGTGGACGTGGACGTGGATTGGGATTGGGGATGGGGATAAGGATGTGAATAGGGATAGTGTCCTGGGATAGTGACCGGGGATGGAGACGTGCATGTTGATGGGGACGTGGATGTGGACGAGGAAGTGGACAGAGATGGAGACGCGGACTGGGTTGGGGACGGGGACGTTGATATGCCGTGGGTGTGGACGTAGACGGAGGGACAAGGGTCAGGATGGGGACAGGGTCTTCTTACAAAATACTATTTCGGTCACTGCACATATGTATCTTTTTACGTTTTAAGGGTTAGACCTGAGGCCAAAATATTTTGCCAAAATTTTGTGAAGTTAATCACCCAATTCCCTCCATGTTATAATTATTTCATAAAATATATTATCAATTGCTTCAAATTTTACTGATATACAAGTCAACTTAAACTGTAACAATCGCGACAGAGACTCAAATCCTATGTTACGTACCTCTTCAGAATCTCTTATTGTCAGTTTCTTGGCGATGATTGTCCGTTTCACAAAGTGATCATAGAAGTTCCTAACTTCTATCCGTTAACACAGGCCCAAACTCGGTATTGGGACGGGCTATCACAGACTGACGGCAGTCGTGGCGCTGAGTTCGCTTGGAGGACGGACCATGGTGAGTTAAGGGTTAATTCGATATCGGTTGGGTAGTGGTGTTATCAGTGTTTGGGGAATTAGTGTTGTAGTAGTCTTTCCTTAAACACCGCCCGCTGTAAGGCGTGATGAGACACGAGCGTATCTCAATATACGCGTTTAACTTGTTTAATGCAGTGATTGGCCTCAATCATATCAGCTGTAGTATATATGTTTCACAGGGATCTGAATGTGTGGTATTATCCGCCCTCGTTGATATCTGATACCTACATGCAGGGGGTAGGTTAGTAATATACATAATTTATCGACCAGAACCATACATACACTCAAAACCGTTTAACATATGTGCTTTAATCTTTGGTTTTGATATCTAACAACTTTAGAATATAAAAAACTCCATATCCTTCTTATTCATTTGATGAGATTATTTCTGCTCTACATATTTCTAAATGGACACATAACATACTTTGGAGCATGTTTAACACTTTATTTGTAAAGGGAATGATTCCAGATCCATATACATACTCAAAACCGTTTAACATCTATGTGCTTTAATCTTGGTTTGGACATCTGACAACTTTACAATATAAAAGACCCATATCCTTCTTATTCGTATTAAAGATCATTTCTGCTCTGCATGTGTTTAACTGGACATATGACATACTTTTGAGCATGTTTAATACTATATTTGTAAAAGGGCTGATTCCAGAATCATATATCAAAACATGACCGTTTAACATCTTTCTGCTTTAATCTTAGCTGTGATCTTTAACAACCGTACAATATAAACATATCCTTCTTATTCATAATGTAAAGATAATTTTTGTTCTGCGTGTCTAACTGGACATATAAAATACCTTAAGCATGTTTAATACTAGGGGTGGGTATTGCAGAGAATTTTCATATTGCGATATATTAAGATGCGAAAGCATGTATTGCGATATGTATTGCAATATATTGCATGAAGTATTTTTAAACACAAAAATACTTATAATCGAGTTACTTCTTGATTTATAGAGCAAAAACACAACAAAATCACTAGGCTTGTTTAAGCTTTAATAACAACTTTTAATCATGATAAAATAAAAATGTGAATAATATTTGGCACAAATGAAACAAGGACATATCCGAACATTTCCGAGTGTTACGAAGTTTTCCGAATGCAAGTGAAAATACCGGTTTTCGATCAGCGTATCGCAATACGTATCGTTTTCATGTCGGAACCGGTAAATACCGGTAAACCGGTTATATTGTGCAGCCCTAATTAATACTATCTATGTAAAGGGGCTGATTTCAGAACCACATACAAACACATGACCGTTTAACATCTGAGTGCTTTAATCTTGGCTTTGATCTTAAACAACTTGACTATATAAACATATCCTTATTTATAATGTAAAGACAATTTCTGTTCTGCATATATCTAACGGCACATATAAAACATATTTATTTATTTTTAACACTATATTTGTGTAAGGGCTGATGTCGTTCTTGTGTCTATCCAATAACGGGGATAGTAAACATCTAGCGACGTGACTGAACACACGATATTGACAATAATAAGAACTTTAAAAAATCATTATGTTGTGTAACCACCGGATAATTGAATTGTAGTCTTCCCTCCTGGACTGACAGCGTGCATTATTTTGTGATTGTTTGGGGAAATTACATTGATCTTCAATATTTGCACTTAATCGGGATTTTCGTGATTGTTAATTTATCCCAGTTTTGTAATAGGCAGACTTTTCTTTGGAATCCCAGAAGGGACATGTCAATATTAACCAAGCCGCGCAATGCAACAATCCGATAGTTTTCATGATTAAATCTAAAATATGACCCCCAAACAATTTTCAAATGAGTGACAACGCGTTCTATTGATAATGACGCAATGTTGCGCTTTGGTAAATTTTGCTTATTTTCGTAAGAGCGACAACGTGACCACGTTCCTTGTAGGATTCCATACTTGAATTTTTTTACATGAAACAAAATGAAAATAAACTGTCAAAAAAGAAACGCAACCCCTGTATTTTAGAGATTTTGATCTGAAGTTTTAGGACGACACGGCATTTTTATTATTTAAGACAGAAGTCTGAAATTTGGCAGAATAATAACCCAGATGGGCATGTTTAAAATTGTCATTTTAAAAAGTCATCTCACAGACACCAGTTTGTCACCAGGGGGGCGTCTGTCTCAGTATCTCGTATGAGCACCACTCGCTGCAATCACTGCACGGCATCTCCTTGGACAAGAACGGATAAGACGCCGGATTCTTTCCTGGGGAATGGCTCTCCACTCCTCCTGCAGTGCAACGGCGAGCTGTTGCAGCGTCTGTGGCGGCGGCTGACGATGACGTACGCGTCGATCCAGAGTATCCCACAGGTGTTCAATAGGGTTGAGGTCTGGTGATTTAGAGGGTCATGGCAAGACATTGACGTTGGAATTCTGCAGGGAAGTTCATTGTTGCACGTGCAGTATGAGGCCGGGCGTTGTCCCGTTGAAAAATCTGTGTCTGTTGGTCAATAATCGGGAGAAGGTGAAGCTCTAACACGTGGTTGATGTAACGTTGGGCTGTCAGGTTCCCTGGAACGATCACCAAGTCAGATTTCTGGTTGTATGAGATGGTTCCCCAAACCATGACGCTTTCTCCGCCAAATCTGTCCACCTGTCGGACGCAGATGGGCGCTAAACGTTTATGACGTCTCCTATACAGACGCTGTCTTCCGTCGTGACGTTGCAAAAGAAAACGTGATTCATCAGAAAACCAGATTCGCCTCCAGTTTTGTAAAGTCCGTATCCTTACGTTGTTGCACCACCTGAGTCGTCGGCGTCGATGTAGGGGGCGTAGTACAGGTCCAACAACTGGTCTACAGGCACGTAAACCCGCTTCTTTCAGACGGTTCCTAATCGTTTGAGCTGACACTCTCCTCAAACCTGGTATTTGTGTGGCAGTCACGGTTGGTAGGGCATGCCGATTACGCAGGTGATGGACCCGGATGTACCGATCTTGAAGGGGGGTCGTGATTCTTGGCCTTCCACTTCTCGGGCGATCGTTGGTCAAATTGAAGTTGTTGTAGCGGCTCCAAAGTCGGGATATCGTTGTTTTGTGAACATTTAGGTGCCGTGCAACAGTTCCAAAACTTTCTCCGGCTTGAACACGACCAATGGCGATATTTCGGTCGGCAGCACTCAATCGTGGCATTTTTAACACAGCTTTTCGGCGACAAATGAATGAATATAATACGGAAGCACATGGGCTTTTATACACCCCTACATTAACTGCCATTTTCATGATTTGCATGTGTTTTTTTTGTGCGAAGTCACCATGAGGGTCATTTCATGCGTTGTGACGGAATAAGCAATAAAATACACTTATGCGTACAAATGCAGTTGTTTGGATGGTAATCTTCATTAATTACGTGTATCATTTCAATACATTCGAATAACATTTAGTTTGGAAGCAATAACTTCATTCAAACGAATTTTTCATATCTGAGGACAGGGGTTGCGTTTCTTTTTTTGACAGAGTTTATTATCATTTCTTGTAAAAGTCTCGGGAAAATATTTTATGTTTTCTTCTGTGTTGGTTGTGCACAAGCCGTTGTCTCATATGAAACAAATTTCTTAGGTTACGAACTTTATGTATGTTATGCGAAAAAATGACTTCAAAGGTTATTGATGAAATTTTTATCTTCAGTTTAAAACTGTTGAACAATCTCGGCAGTCCGTTGGTGAAAGTTTCTGCTATTTTATTACGTTAATGTATGACTTATGTGACGCTAGTATATAACTTAGACGTGAGTGAGTGAGTGAGTGAGTTATGATTCACTGTTAATGGACTTCGTGTGAGTGAGTGAGTGAGTGAGTTTAGTTTTACCCGGCACTCAGCAATATTACAGCTATATGGCAGCGGTGTGTAAAGAATCGAGTCTGGACCAGACAATCCAGTGGTCAACAACATGAGCATCGATCCGCGCAGTTGGAAACAGATGACATGTGTCAACCAAGTCAGCGAGCTTGACCAACCGATCCCGTTGTATATACATGTACATCTCTGGCTATGTAACTCTAATTGTCACTTAATTAGCTGTATATCACTGTGCTGTATTCACATATCTTTGTCCTCATTAATTTGTGTCAATGTTCCCAATGTGCCTACATCCCAATTTGCCTACAAATGTTGTTGTTTTGGGAACTAAAATCCTTTTTTCTACTTAGGAATACTTAGGGGTATGACCCTTACATGTAAGGTCCTACATCCAACATTAGCCCTCTGCCCACTTACAACCTATGATCTGCTGAGATATTTAACCGATCATCCTTCATTATGAAAACAATAGCCCTCTACTCAACAAGATTAAAACGTTTTCTTAACACAGTGGTTTCTACTGAGCCGACCTAGACAGCGTGTTTGTAACGACATCAGAGTCCCGATCCACAAAGCGTTCGTAACGTTACGACCTGTCG